CTCCCTCCTCCTTCCCTGGGACCTGGTACTGCCCAGAGGTGAACTCAACATCCTAATTCAGCTTTCCCTGGCCAAAGTCTAGTTTGCTTTGAATCCAGTAACCCATCGTTGAAAAGATCCCTGACCATTTTGGGAGGCCAGGCTACTTTGCCTTTCTCTGAGACCAGAGGTTCTTAAACTTGAAAGTGTCCCAGAACCCCCTGGAAGGGCTGTTAAAACACAGGATCCCTAGGCCCTTGTCCCAGAGTGTTTTAATCAGTAGATCTGGAGTGGAGCCCAAGAATGTACAACTCTGACAAGTTCTCAAGTGATGCTAATCCGCTGGTCCACACTTTGAGGAGCAGTGTCACAGACCTTAAAATCAGCACAGATGTTGACAAGCTAATGTTTGACCAGGAAGAAGCAGTGAGGAGTCAAAAGTTGCAGGGGATTGGCAATATCTTGGGGGCGGGGGGGGGGGTTGACAGGGATCATAGTCTTGGAACTTTACTGGGCAAGCCTTTGAGTTAAAGTAGCCGACCTGTCCAGGTAGCCCATTCCCCACCCCCATCTTTCACTTTATAAAAAGCCAGCCAATCGACCTACTAACTCCATAAGAAGTGTTTAGAAACATTGTCCTAGGAGAATGACCAACCATCCTGGTTTGGCTGGGATTGAGAGGTTTCCAGGGACATAAGATTTTCAGTACTAACACCAGGGGAAGCCTTGGCCAAACTGGGATGCTTTGGTCATGCTCAATCCAAGTCTCTTTGTCTCCGATAAAAAATATGCAGAAAAATATCTCTGGTATAATGTTTATTTAAATAGCAATCTTAAAAAGGCTTTATACAAATCATATAAACACAGTTTGACCTTGTCGTTTATTTTTTACATTGAAGAATCACAGTAAAAGCTCTCAAGTTCCCATGATCTGGCTCAGCCAGCGAATGGTCGAATACCTTTAGCTGCAAACTCTGGAAAAGTTAATCTTCTGTGTGACAGCTTAACCTTTCCCCTTGTGTTCTTGTATTCATGCTCATTCCTCGGACCCTCAACCCTGTCAACTCCCCATCCCCGCCCAAGAGAGAAAGCAACCCTGTGGCCCTGTTGACTGCCTAGTCCGGGAGAGCGTGGAGGTAATGTGTCATTCAGTACAAGGCAAAAAAGGGGATCAATACTGTGAGTTGGGTTTCCCAAAGGGAACAATTCAAGGAGACGGGTCAGCTAGCCTACCTGCAGATAGAGAAAACAAATGCACCAGGGTGCCCCCTGGCCGAGTTAGAATCAGGCCCCACTGTCTTTCTGTCTTAGGACAGCCCAGCCTCCGGTGTTGGTGAGGTATCTACATGCAGCCCCGGATGGCCAACTTTCCTTTAGCAGGGCCCACCCAGGGCCTCAAACCAGCCAATGGTGAGTATGGTTCGAGGACTGGGAAAGGGATGCAGGTTGGGTTGTGGGTAATTTAGAGGCGAAGTGCAGGCCGAAGACAGGGCTGGTCTTTGGGGAACTGTACAATGGCCCGCTGAGCATGAGCGGGCTAGGACCCCCAGGGTAGGCTTTTGAACTTCTCTTCTTCTGCAGGCAACTTCTGGAAATCCCTAGGACTCGCTAGCTTCCTGAACACTGAGCTATGTGGGAAGGCGAAGAGGAGGGTGGGCTAATGAAAAACTTGCTTCTGCTGCATGCCCAGCTCGGGAGGGGGGGGTCCTAAAGCTAAGCCCTTGGGCTTGACAGCTTTACTTTTCACCTCTAACTACCACTGTGCCAACGAGTGCGAGATCAGTGGTGACACTCGGGCCCTAGGTCAAAGTCACAACAACATCACTGAGTCCCACGTGACCATTCACATACACAGTAGATACAGAGAACTCAAAGGCTCGCAAAGACACACATATATGAATAAATAGCTGTCGGTTTGGACTCTCCCTCTCTGCATACAAAACACTGTGACATTACCATTTGAACTAGTATTTCCGTAAGTTAACATGTAAGGGAATCAGCCAGTCCCATTCACCCTTTCCCTTTCACCTGGGTAGGAGACAAATGAACTTGTGGGTGACCATAGCAGCAAAAATGGTCTGACAGCTTACCACTGATAAGCAATGGGCTGGGCATACTGGTGGGGTTTCAAAGGTATTTCCAGCACACAGGCAATCTTTAGGCATTACTACAAAATCAAGATTTGGATCTTGACGCGGACAATCTTATCCTTCACACGGTTTTTCTGATGCCTCCCCTTCTAGAGTAGCTGAGAGTCATCGAGGGCTATGACTGCGCCTTGGGAAGCAGGGCTCAATCCATTAGTAGGATCAGCGGTGAGTTGGGGGAGCTGGCAGTGGGGCCACAGGGGTTAGGGAAGAAGGGATGCCTTACTTAGAGGATACTCACTGATTTCTACATAGAGGGAAAATACAGTTTTCTTCATTGTTTCAAGGCACTTAATAAAAAATACATAAAGTGTGTGTGTGTGTGTGTGTGTGTGTGTGACCTAAGAGAGACCTAAGAACATAGGTCTCTCCGGGATTGAAGCAGTGTTGTTAGTGTTTTGGTCCACAGTCCTTGCATACTTCTGGCTCAAATCAGCTCGCGTACATCCTACCTGCCTCTCCTGAAATGCTGTAAACCCCGAGGAATAGTCAATGTTTACTAGCCTATAGGAGAGACTGATTCATCAAAACGTCTCTGTACAGTCTGCTTAGCCTTGGCTATGACATGATCACAGAGGTTGGATTTCCTTTTCCGTCTCCACTGTTCTCCTTTCCGTCCAGTGGTCTCCAGTTACATTTCACTGGGGGAAAAACATACTAACAGCCTGAATTTGCCACCCCATCTCTGAGAGTATCAAACAATGCTATGCCTGGGGGACGAGACGCCCGACAAATGGGCGCACGTGTGTGTGTGTGTGTGTGTGTGTGTGCGTGCGCGTGTGTGTATGTTTTAGAAGAGCAAGGAGGAGGGTAAAGAAAAAGTAAAACCACCACCAGAGGCCCCACGAAGTAGCCTCACAGCCACAAATTCTAGGTCTAGATGTAATGAATGGCTCCTAGTCGCAAAGCACGTTAAGGCTTGTCCGCTTCTAACATGGAGGTGCTTCTGTGGATTTCTGACGTGTGAAGTTTCCTTTCTGGTTTGTTTTAAATCGCATATAAGAAAGAGCTATTCATGCTGACCCTAAAATGGCAATTTTCCCCTGGATAAAAAAAGTTAAAGGCAACAACATCCTACTTAAATGCTAGGACTGGAAACGGCAGCTTGTAGGGTTGGCTGGCATGAACCTACACAGCAAATCCCGTAAAGTCGTAAAACGATCAGAGGACAGGATAAGTTGGACGGCTTTTTTTTTTTTCCTAAAGATGAAAAGTCTGAAAAGACCTTTTGCTTTTCAAGTGTTGATTAGAAAGACGAAGCAGAGTACCATGACCGCCACTCTGCTTCTATCCTGGAAAAGTCATTCTCCTCTTCTGCCTCTTTGAGTTGCTCACAGACCAAAGAAATAAAATATAATAACAACAAACTCACAAACGAAATAGAACTGTGACCCCCAAAGAGATGAGCTCCCGTCTTAGTCCCAGCAACGACTCAGCCACCGCGCTTCTAGGTGGGTTGTAACCCCCTTCGCAGCATCGCCCTGCCTCCCTCTACTCGTCTGTTCTGTCCACACCTGCGGTATTCTGGATCGGTTTGATCGAGATTATGGCATTCAGTTTCCAAAGGGAAAAAAAAAACGTAATCTTCACTAGCCCCTCTTGCTGGAATGAAGCGTCAGATGTGATTTGGGTGCAATCCGTCATGCCTCGGAGCAGCACTTCTGGTGGTTCATCTTGACCTTGTGCTTGAGGCCGTCGTAGAGCTCAAAGTTGTAGTTCTCCAGCGTGGTGCAGCTGCGGGAGCTCAGCCCTGAGTAGGAGCAGGTGCAGTAGAGCAGGAGCCCCGCACACGTGGCCCCCAGGAGGACGCCCAGGGAGCTCATGGCGATAATGGTGATGAGGATGGGATCCAATGTGTAGAGCCAGCTCTTTTCTTTGTCGGCCGAAGGGGCACCAGACCCTGAGGTCGGGGAAGAAGAGTTGCTCCAGTCCACCTCATACTCATCTGTGACACAAAGCATATGAGAATTGTGGGCACTGCCTCTTTCGAGGTGAAGTGAATGACACCCACCCCCCCGCCCCAGCCCGGTGTAGAGGTTCTTCAGGGCACAAGGACAAGCAGGGGGACCCTGAAAGTGCACTGGCTGGCGTCAAAGCCCAGCCTCACCAGGTCTTTGCTGTGTGACTTTGGGCAAGTTGCTTAACCTCTCTGCCTGTGTCTTCCCATCTATAAAACAGGGATACTGTTAAGGCTGCCTTTACTGGGTTGCTAGGAGGATTAAATGAATTAATAATTGTAAAGTGCTTGGTGTCCAGCACATAGCTAGCACTAAGTATTTGATATTTAAATAATTTGACTCTGACTAGGTAAGCTCAGATTTTGATAAAAGCTTCAGGGTGCCTTTGGGACACTGGGGCGGTCCCGTGATCTGGGCACGCTTCTTTCTTTGCCTCCTCACCCCCCACGTCCACTTGCTTCAAGTTCAACCAAAGGATAGACAGGCTGAGACCATTTTCACACGACAAGTTTCCCAATTTAGTATTGCTGGCCATCTGAGCAGCAGACTTTTTTCAAGCCACCACACTCACTTGACATACACCTTACCTTACTGTTATGAGTTGAATTATGTCCCCCATATGTTCATATGTTGAAGTTCTAACCCCTAGTACCTCCGAATGTGACTTTATTTGTAGATAAGGGCCTTGAATTGTTTTAAAGTAGGCTTTACATCCTGCGTGGAGCCCAACGCAGGGCTTAAACTCATGGCCCCGAGACCAAGACCTGAGCTGAGACCAAGAGTTGGACGCTTAACCGACTGAGCCACTGAGGCACCCCTGGAGATAAGGTCTTTATAGAAATAATCAACTTTAAATGAGGTCTTTAGGGTGGGCCCTAATCTAATACGGATAGTGTCCTTATACAGGGGGAAATTTGGAGGCAGACACAGGTGGGACATTGCCTTGAAAACATGGAGATGACCATCTACAAGCCAGTGAGAAAGGCCTGGAACAGATCCTTCCTTCCCTCATGGTCCTCAGAAGGAACCGGCCCTGCTGAGCCCTTGATCTTGGACTACTAGCCTCCAGAAAGGTGAGAAAATAAATTTCTGTTGTTTAAGACCCCCAGTTTGTGGTACTTTGTTACAGCAGCCCTAGAAGACTAATATACTTATTGTTTCCATAGTGTGGCCAAGGCATGACCACATCCACAGCTCATTTTGTAAGATTTCCTAATAATTCCACGAAGAAGACAGGGTACTATTATAATTTTTTAACAGGTGAAGAAACTCAGGGGCACCTAGGTGGCTCAGTTGGTTAAGTGTCCGACTCTTGATCTCAGCTCAGGTCGTGATCTCACAATTCATGAAATCGAGCCCCGTGACCAGCTCCATGCTGACAGGCAGTGCCTGCTTGGGATTTTCTCTCTCTCTCTCTCTCTCTCTCTCTCTCTCTCTCTCTCTCTCTCTCCTCCCCCCCTCCCTTTCTCAAAAAGAAAAAAAAAAAAAGAAAAAGAAAAAAGAAAGATGAAGAAACTCAGGTTTTTAAGAAATTAGGTGACCAGATAATTCAGTTGAGGTTCCAGACTTAGCAAGCAGTTAAACCGGGAATAGGAATCCAGCTTTCTGTATCCTTATCCCCTGCTCTCTGTACCCATCATAGTGCCTCTTGCTGCTACACCTACTGTGGCCTCTCCTTTTAAGCCAGTTCCACAGCTTTGCCCATAAAAGGAGCGTTAGACGGGGTTTCGCAGGGAGAGTCTGCATTGAGTTAACAAGGTGCTGTTTGGGTTAGTCACTCTGTTTCTATAACTACACTTGAAGTGTTTGATTAAGGTCGGGTTAAAAGCAGCTGTTCTATAAACAGCTCTTCTTAAATGCATCAATCTTGGTCTAAAGTTGTTCTTTGAGAGGAACTGTGGTGATCTCTCTTGCAGATCAACTCTGGCACTCAGAGAAGCCCAGACAGACATGTGCTGCTCTGAGTCGAGGGGAGAAATTATATCTACATGTTTGCTCGGCGGCCCTCCAGTCAGGGCTCTTGCTTTATCCTCTTGAAGTATGTGTATTTGAAGTGGGAGAATAGAACTTGGACTAAATACAAGATGGGCATTGTAGAAAAGAAACCTAAATCTGGCAATGGGCCCCAACTTGGAGTCTTGGATAGTGTGAGAAAGGCTCCCCCTCAAGCCAGGGAACAGGAAACCACAGAAAGCCTAGGAGAATATTCACATTTATACTCATTTACTCAGGTCCTTTTTGGGAAGAGGTCAATGGGTTCAAGCAGCAACACATTTAGAAGAGCCTTGCTTTTACTTCTAAAGGGTTTATCCAGATTTGAAGTCCATCAATGTCGAAAGTTGCCTCAAGTAGGGGACCTGTTTCAGATTAGGCAGAAGGAACTCAATAAACTTTCCAAATTTTTTTTTTTTTAATTTTTTTTTTCAACGTTTATTTATTTTTGGGACAGAGAGAGACAGAGCACGAACAGGGAAGGGGCAGAGAGAGAGGGAGACACAGAATCGGAAACAGGCTCCAGGCTCTGAGCCATCAGCCCAGAGCCTGACGCGGGGCTCGCACTCACGGACTGCGAGATCGTGACCTGGCTGAAGTCGGACGCTTAACCGACTGCGCCACCCAGGCGCCCCTAAACTTTCCAAATTTCTAAATTTGACCTTGACAAAGCAATTGATGGTTTCTTCACTGCTCTCTGGATTCTTTTCCCTTCTATTTCTGATTGGTAGTTCTAAATTTTGGCCTTCTCATACCCCAGGCATTATTTTTGTTGACATCTTTATAACCAAACCTGAATTTCATGATGGTCTGCTAAATCATAGCAATACTCACCATCAATTTCATCTTCATAGCCCTCTCTTCCGTGTATTTCTGGAATGTCTACTATAATGAAAAAGAAAACAAACAAATCAAGTTATAACAAGTTCTATTGCCATGGCTAACAGGCAGAGATGCAGCCTTTCTGAGAGTGACTCCCCAGTACAGTGGGCAGCTAAAGAATCACATCTGCTTCTAGATCATTTAGTATGTACATTACTGGATTCTTTCCCCTTCAAATGATTTGTCTTTATTGCCAACAGCAACCAGAAGAACAGAAACAAAAAAGGTCTTTAGCTCCAAATAACTCCTCACTTGTGTTGTGGTAATGACTGTAGTTCATTGCCATTATAGGTCTGCATTTATCCAAGGCAACTTGGATGGCATGCCCATCATCAGTTGCTACAACTGTGATGTTTATTTAGTGTAATGGACCCTCCTCATATGCATGCATGTAAGTAGACATATCCTATAAGGGTCTTTCTCCTCTGGCTTTCAAATAAACGTATGGTAATTCAACAAAGTCACATTTCATCATTATATGTTTTCATGTAGAAGTAGGACTGGAAAGAATGTCATAAGGCCTGTCCAGCTCCGCGTATCTGTGCTAGTATCTCTTGTCTTTCCTTCTCAGTTTACTTTTCCACTGGTTTTCTTTATGGCTTAGAATAGGTCAAACGTGGGCATCTAATCTGACTAGCCCAGGCTTAAAAAGAGCTAAATTAATTTATTGTGGATTTTCTCCAGTATTATCACTGTCTATCCTTTTCTTTTTTTATGATAATTTGGGGGGGGGTGTGGGAAAGACAGTCTCTCTATTCACTATGCTGTCCATCTTACAGAAATCAGAGCCAATGAAAATTACTGGTCTAAAATGGCAAAATATCAACAAAGAGAATCAAATATGTGGTGATTTATCATTTCTTTGTTTCTCACAGGTTAATTATGCCTGCCCTGGCTGTCAGCTCAAGATGGCGTTAGCAAGTGTATGGACACGTTAGGAGTTATACTGAACCCCAAGTCAGGTGCACAACCTTGAGGTCAGCACTATAAACCGATACCCCAAAATTCAGGCTTAAGTCAAAACCAAATCCCAAACAGCTAATACTATCAAACAAGAGGAAGAGAAGAACTTCACACTGGCCTGAACTTTCCCTCATCAGCACATCTCAGGGAAGATCTACTTGACCATGACATGAACTGAGGATTGATCTATCGCCACCACACTTGAAATTCAGTCTTTTCCTGGAAGCAGTGATTTTAGTCATGTTAGATAGAAGTCTTCCTCATCCTGGCCAGAGTGCTAAAGCACATTTTGATCCCCCTGGTCGTTAGTAAGGGATGCAACAAAACAACTTGCCAGAACCCCACTTGAAAGGATCAATGCCATGTGGCACTAGTTTGCCATAAATCCAGCCTGTTTCTGGCATGTTTATAGCACAGCAACTGGCACCTGCAGGTCACAACAGCTTCCCCACCTCAATGCCCATCCCCTGCATTATTCTCCAGGACCCTACAATGCAGGCTGTTTCCTTGGAATGAAGATGTGAATATGAATCAACAAGAGGCAGGAGGTATCTGTCATAGGGATCAAACTGAGCTTGTGAAAGTCAATCTGGAGATTTTTTTTTAACCTTGTGAAAAAACAAACAAACAAACAAACATGGAAGAAAAGCATCACATTTCCATCCACTAATCGTTTTGATGGGATGCTCATATGTCTTAACACCTTCACGGTTAAGAGATGCAGAACATTGGATAAGAATATGCGAATCAGCCTAGTACAAAAACTGTGGGGCTCTTGCCAGTGACTTTTGGGCCAAATCCTGTTCTTGCTTTTAGGGATTTGGTCTCTGCCAAGGATGTGACAGATTCTTGGAGGCTAGAATGCCATTTTGCTCCATCTCACACCCTCAGGGAAGAACTCTTAGGACACTATTGACCGTGGCTGGAAAGGAGTAGATGTGGCATTGATCTTAAAGGAAAAGGGGTAAAAGGATGGTAATGAGTATGAGTACATTTTGCCCCAGGAGATCACAGCCTCTTGCCTCTGGAGGTGGAGGACTGGATGAGATGACCTCCCAAGAATCGGTCCATTTCTAAGGTTCTATGTAATTGATTGCTTAGATGGGCCGAGATTTCTGCACCTGGTGAATCAAAGGCTACCTAAGGTGAAGAAGAACACTTTAGAGGCTTGACTTGGCTTTTTGTATAATCACTGCTCCCAGGAGTTTGGGTGAGTGGGAGGGGTCAACAAAAGGATAAGTTAATCAACATTTTCAAAAGCGCATCTGTTCATCAAGCCTTAAAGAAAGAACGGCACACTAGGGAAAACCCAAATAAAGGGAACATTTGTACAAAAAAGCAATTTGCTTTGAGAGCAATTTTCTCTAGTCCCCTTGTTATTATTCTTGATATCTGTGATTAAGAGCTTTCTTTCTTAAAAGCCCCATTGCTCTTCATGGGCCGCCTTCCTTTTCTGTTAAGCCCAATAGGTAAACCTCACCTTGTTTCCTCAGGATGCTGGTAGGAAGGAGTATGACTCTCCCACCAGGTGCCTGTAGTTCTAGCAAGACAAGGCAAGGGCGGAGAGGGGGAGAAATGATGAGCTCGAGGCACAGAGTAGAGGTAGCACCTCCCTGATAGCAAAAGATAGCACAAGCATGTAGGGACCAGGGACCCTGAACCGAATTGAATTTCTCTTTTTTTTGTCATGAGGACAAACTTGGAGAAGACCTTCCAGGACCCTGGTTTAGTGAGTGGGTGTGTCTATGCCTAAGGGACGGACAAGGGCGAGTGGAATGGGCCACACCTCTAGGATCACACAGATCTGGAAAGGATCTTACCACCCACATGACTTCCACTTTCACCCTTTGTGCTCACATGACCTTATTTCCTCTGGGGCCCTGTATGGACTCAGTCTCAGCCAGTTTGACTCCAAACTGAATTCTGACTCTTCAGTACTGCGTGAGGGCCAGAGGTGACCTCTCACTTCCACCCAGGTCTGCCTCCAAGTTCTCTGGGTATTGGCAGGACACTGCATCTATCAGCGTATAATTACTACCTTATTCTAACAGTAAAAACGGGCCTGCCTTGTCTCGGATCCTAGTTGACTGGATATACTCTCTCTGGCTCTTTGCCTGCATCGCTCTCCAGACACTTTGATGGGAACTCAGGAGGACTTCTCATGAATGGGAAAATACGGTCCGAAATTTGAAGCTCATGTTTTCCGTGATAGGCGTGACTCAGAGGGGGAAGGCTGATTTGCCTTCTTTTTCCAAGGGTAGTCTTCATTACCCAACCAGTCAACCGATCCTCACTTATGAAAGAGGTTTACAAAGTGCCCAGGAGCCACACTGGGTTTTTGGAAAAATGAAGATGGATGGGACCAGGTGTCTACAGTCAAGGCCCCTCAGCATGGTTGGGAAGCAAAGACTTGTCCATGACAAAACAGTATAAAAGAACGTGGGGGCTTGTAGATGGGACTCTAAGTGCTGCTGGCATCCAGGGTAAGGATTGGGCACATGAAGCCAGGCCACTGCCAGGAAGGAAAGCATTCGAGTGGGGAGGAGGGTGCTTCAGAAGAGAGGCTGCTGCACTGTGGCGGTTGGTGAGTTCGAGCTCCTTTATCCGTTTGATGGACAGGAATGGCTTCGAACGTGGCACCTGAGCCTTTTTACTCATATACTGATCCCTTGGTTTTTGGCTTGAATTCGCTTTTGTCTGCTCCATCAAGGAATTCAAAGAGATGGCCAGGCCTGGCCACATATCTTCCACCTGGATTTCCCTACATGAGAGTCAGGTTTCTGCGCCTCTCCTCCACCAGCTGCTGTGAACCAGCACAGTGAAAGGAAGAAGTAAACTCATGAAGGACCAGAACAGAGTTTACTAGAGTTTAAGTAATCAAGTGAGCAGACTCACCACTACTTAAAAAACAAACAGCCTAATTCAACAAAACCTGGTCATTTTCATATTGTCATCAAAGCCTCAGGCTGCAAAGTCCCATTTCCCCAGGAGCCCCTTCCCTTAGCACCGTCAAGAGGTGGGTGAGGTACACAGTGGAGAGTGATTCAAGGTCTTAGTCCATCTCCTATAGTCCTGATTTTTCAGGGCAAGAGGCCCAGAGGGGCTAGTTATTAAAACACTCACTGACTGTTCCAGAACTCCTTCCACCCTAGGAGAGTCACGTATTTTCAAGTGTCTTTGTCAGTAAATTGCAACACTATGGCACAAAAGGTTAACGGCCATACCCAGTCATAAACCGAACCTACTCTAAGGAGCTATGTTTTCCCCTGTGGGGTCTGGAACACTGCCTGGCGGTGTCAGACCACACATGTTATGCAGGAGAAACACCCCCAGACACTCAACGTGCAGCTGGGGGATTCCCCACCGAGCATGATTTACGTGTCAAAGAGGAATGCTCTCTCCCAGTCTTGGCTTCCCATTCTCTCCTTCCCCACCTTACACGCACCTGCCTGTGCGCGCGCACCCCCCCCCCCACTTTATCTATCTTCCTCCCCCCTTCATTTTCTTCCATTTTTTTCCCCTCTTAAATTAAGATCCTTTGGTGTTAAACTGCTTTTCTGCAATTACTCGTAGAAAAATTTTGACCTTCCCTTTTTGACCTTCCCTTTCACCACTACTGCTATGCTGTGGTCTACCGCGAGTGTATCAGCGCGGGTGTTGTTCTGTTTACTTTCTGCATCATAAAAGGAGCTTCACAAGACTGCTGGGAAGTGAAAAGCCTGCCCCAAACCACTGGCTACTTTCAGATAAATCATTGAGGACAGTCCATTCCTGGGCCATTTGCATGGAGATCATCTCAGGACACCAAAACACACTGGTTTTCTTTGAAGAGTCCCTTCCACGTGAACTCCGAGCAGTGGAGTAAGAAGCCTGGTTGAAGCTGATGACAGATCTGTGAGCCAGAGGGTGTAGCAGAGACCCTCTAGGAACCGTGTGGTGCCAGCTCTGCTCACTGTCTGAAGGAAAGGAGCATGGGATTTGGAGGAGCACTGCACTGGGAACAGGTTGCCTGCTTCTCATCTGAGCTCCGCTATCCACCGCGGGTATGAGAGCCTGGGCGAGTCATTGACCCTCTGAGTCTCAGTTTGCTCCTCTGAAAGTAACCACTCATGTTCTTCCCTGCTCTAGTCTTCTACGTCTTACGGGAAGAAAATGAGAAAGGTCTGAGGGCCCTTCTGATGAGGGCACTCTCAAGAGGCTGCTGGTTGAGGTAGACAAGGTGACTCCCATAGAAAAGAACCCCACTCTGCTCACCACCCCAGTCTTCACCCCAGGTCTGTCTTCTCCTAGGTTGTTGCTCCCTGAAGTCAGCCGCCTTAAGGTGTGTGTGGAAAGAGAAGACCACGAAACAGACAGGTAAAGGGAAGCTGTGAGATCCCATGTTTCCAATACTGGTTCATTTACCTTAGAAATCAGCCCTGCGAACTGGCAATTGAAAAAGTAGTGGGTAAATTGTGCCCCGAGTTTTAAACTTCCACCTTAACGGAAGCCAGGCTGATAAAACCAACCTTAACGTGGCCACTTAACCCACCAAAGTGCAACCAGCCTTCAAAGCAAGGATTGAAGAGTCACTTACACCCAGAAAATCATTGAAATCATTCATTTTCACAGGCACAGGTGTCACCGCTTCTATTTTAAAGAGAATGAAATGGAAGAAGGAGGGTAGAAAAATGCAGTAAGTCATTGAACAAATCAGTGCTAAGGCGAGTAAGCCACATTTTCGACACCTAGTTTGGGGCTGTGATTTATGTGGGATAAGCTCTTGGCTACTTAGAACCCTTGCTGAATTTGATTCCAAGTTCTTGAAACCCCTGAGCCAGCTAAATCACCGGACTGTTCAGATGGGAGTAGTCTTTAGAAAATTCTCTCAGCCATTTCGTTTTGATCCCAGCAGGAGATGTAACCCTGAGACTGAAATAAATGAGAAATAACGAAGGACTAGGAGATATTTCTTGGCCTTTTGCAGTGTTTAATTCAGTTTAACATTTAGTTTTGGCTGAAGGCCTGCCCCCCCCCCCGCCCCACCCCACCACCTTAATTTCCCTAATTCAGTTTGTTCATCCCCAGTTGCTACAGGAGCCAAAAGTTCAGATGTTGATGAAAGCTATGCCAAGCTCCTCCATTAGAGAGTCAGGGTACTTGAGAGCCATTTATCCCTTGCTGGGTTTGGCTTGAGTTGAGAAACACCACCAGAAGATCCTTTATCATGGGTTTTTATCTCTTGGGCTTATAGCCAAATACATGCAAAGTCATGGAAAAAAATATTTTTTGGAGTTTTCAAATGGTTTCGAGCTGGAAAGCACAGGTTTGAGATATCTGGAGTCTGAACTTGAATTTAGCCATTATTTTCTATTATTTTTAGTTGAATAACTAGATGGAAACACTAAAAAGGGTTGGAAATACCAACTGCAAATGAGAAAGCTGTGAAATGACCTAATGATATTTTCAAGTGTGGAGGCGGATGAGCAGCTGAGGCCAAAATGGCTCCACTGAGCCCCAACGATGAAGTGAAAATAAGAAAAACGCAGCCAGAGAAACATTTAGCTATAAAGATGGGATTCAGAACTGTGCAGGTTGGAAACACCCAGCAATGATGATGGAGGAACATTCTGGAATCTCTCCTCCACCCTAGGTCTTTGAAAAATCAGAGATTTTCTTCCTAAGTATCAGTAGATATGTCAACAACAAGAAATAGATACGTGAACAAAAAGAAATTCTTCTTTTGTTGGCTACCTTCTCAGAGTGTGAAGGTGAGAAAACCCTAAAATTTCAGGGAAATTCTCACATGTTCACATTTCAGAGAGGTCGCCCAGTGGGCTTTGACATTTCTTCTCTCCTCCAATCCTGATACTCAGGAAGTGTGCATGATGGGAACACCACTCAGGTGGAGTAGTTTCCTACCTCTTGGGTGAGTGAAAGAATGGCGTCAAAGAAACAAAACCACATTTGCTTCCACTGTGAAAAAGAGATGTCTTGTCAAAGCCTCCCCTCATGTTCTGTAAGGCCCTGAAAAAATGCCCTATGTATCTCACCAAGTAAGCTTGCTCTACTTAAAAGGTGGGCTCTACTTCAGAACACAAGAATGAACAACGCTGTGGTAAGAGGTTTGGGGTTCCAAAAAGGAACCTGTCTCTACCCACTCAAGAGGTGATTTTCCCCAGAAGCTTGCTGTTATCCCAGGACTGTAATTATAACATAAGAGAATAATTTTGTCTCTAGTAAGAACACAACTACTTGGAGGAAAGTAACCAATTGAGCTTTCGTTTGAGGGAATCCGCCCCCCAACTTCTCTGGGAAAGAGTTTGATGAAGGGGGTGGGGGGGAGCAAGTATGAGAGTGACA